TAAAGCTCTACATAAGTACTAATGTGGAGGAAAAAAACCAGACCTAATTATCTTTTTATCAAGAAGGTATTTTCAGAGTCGCTAATGGAGATGTACAAATCTCATGTATATGTGAATTTTAGTGTGCTTTCCCCTCCTTCCTTCAGTCTCTCTTACAAAAGTAGAAGTAGAAATTGTATTGAAATGGTTCAAATTGGTTTCTATTTGTTTGTTGTTTTGTTTTGGTTTTTTTACCCCACATAGAATCATAATTCTTTCCCTCCAAAACTAAAACATCTTTTCTTTGTATGAGTAGAGCGAAGACGGAGTGTGAGGAAATAAATGTTATTTATACAAATGTATTTTAATGAGGCCTAGGTGAGGACTATTTTGCTTAAAATAGCATCACTTCCAAATAGTGTAGCCTTTTTTAATTTTTATTTAATTTTAGTTTTAAAGTTGCTTGCAATATTTTAATTAATTCTGACTGAATTCTGGTGTGTTCAGATGAAAATTCATAAAGAACAGTTCTGATGACACTTCATAACATTTGTATTCAGAGATCAGTTGGAAACTGGATTATTGATATTTAAGTTCTGTGATTAGAACTTTAATGAGATGAAGTTAATTAGAAATATTAATGGCGTAACTTCATATTCGGGTGAGAAAATGAGATTTTTGGGAAAATAGGATTTTTTTTATTATTATTTTTTTCAGAATTTTCTGTTACAACTCTGTCCTCTGCCCTTCTCTGCTGTGTGCACATGCAACACTACCTAATTGTAATTGTAAAAGTACCACAAAATAAACAGGCTGGGGGAGGATATCAGTACTACCCTTAAGACAAGCTATTATTTTCTTCTTTGCCGATTCTCTCTCCATGCAGGATGGAAGTTCTCACTGAGGATTGAGGTGTTTTTTAATACTTCAGTCTGACACGCTCTGCACAAATTACCTGGTGATCTTCTGAGCTACTTAAAATGTCTGCAAATAAAAGCATAGGGTGAACCCTGCATTAGCAGGCAGGAAACCACCAGCTTGCTGTCTGTTGTTGTGTCCTTGGCTGAATGGTGAAGGTAATTTGCCTGTTTACCCCAAAGTGATAAGTAGGTAATTTTTTTTGCCTGATTAGGATTTTTGGTTGTGAGGTGAATTATTGAGAATAGGAGAGGGGGATTTAAGGAAATAACATATATGTATATATGTATTATTTTTAGTAGGTTATGGTAAGGTTTGAGAAGGTTCCTCCTAAACTGAGGTTGAGGTGGCATTGTGTACTAGCAGTCAGTCTGTAGAAATATGAGGAATTGGAGAATGTACAAATGTATTATTATTAATAATAAAAATACAGAGTTTCTCACAAGGTCCATAAAATGGTGTGTGTAGGCGCATCCAGGAACTTCCAGCTCTGGTTCTTTGTTTTGCTTGCTCCTTTTCTCCAATCCCCTGCAAAGAAGCTTCATATGGTGTGTTTTTTGTGGTTTTGTTTTTGTTTTGGTTTTTTAGGATTCTTCATTGTTTTTCTTGTGATGATTTCCCTTGCATTGATATTTCCTAAAGTTTTGTAGCCTGGCAGAAATTAGGGTGTTAAATGTGGAGAAACGCGGCTAGCATGACTAGGTAGGAAAAAATTGAATGCTATGTTTGAGTCAAGTGTTAGTTTTGCCTTTCATGTTAACCTTCCGTTTAAAGATGACTCCTCTTTTCAGGAGATACTGTTTACACCGTGAGGGAATCTGTTTCCCCCAGCTTGTGCTGAAGGACAGCAAAGGTTTTTACTATGTATTTCTATGATGAGACAATATTATCCTTTGTGTAACATGACTTTGCTGCAACTCAGAAGGTACCGAGTCAAAACCCTAAGGTGATGTGCGTCATTTTGCTGTTGAACACTTAAATTCACAACCAGAATTAGTAAAAACTGTGTAACATTTGTATTTATCTAGAATGAATGGTGCCACGGTAGATCTGCTCTCCCTGCCCTGCCCGTAGCATGCTCGCAGCTCACATGCCAAGGCTGGCTGAATGGTGCCAGTGACAACCGCGGCTACTCTCTTACTTCATCATTTTGTTGGAAAACTCTCCTGCTGAGTAGGGCAAGAAGGGAGTTCTAATTTTGGGGGTTGTTTTTGTTTCTGTTTTTGATTTGGCTTTTGCATGATGACCTTGAATTTTCCTTGCTACTTGTTAGGACTAGTTTTGTGGCAGAATGGGTTGAAATGCTTCTGTTATCATGCTGATGTTTCTTTTTGTCTTGGTTTATCTGAATTCCATCAGATAATGCTACGATCGTCTACCCTTTATCTGTGCAATAACGCCGTGTTTACCAAAGACACAGCTTTACTGCATTTAAAGTGTATTTAAAGAATATGTGCTTTTATTTTTAAACTTTGCCTCACTTGTACTGAATTCCTAAATTGTTACTCGTCGCTCAGAACCAAGAACACCATCTCCACTCTTTCACCTTAAACCATCCAATATGCTATTTTAAAATAAAATTCGATTTGAAAATAAGTATTCGACTATTTGCATAAGGGTTGAATTTTAATCAGATTCCCATATAGGAATTTAGAGGTGTTTGCTAGCCACCTGACTTGGCTTGAACTTGAAAGCATCAACAAGGTGCTCAGCTCCATCATCACCCATTTTGGAAAGTAACTTGACTGGGATTCCTGATCAGTGTGTTATTTCATCTGCAGGGGGTATTCTGTCCAGAGTTTGCCGACTGAAGCAGTTGTGCTAAGTAGCTATTAATGGAGAGTGAGAATTTGCTCATCTGGATCCTGCCTTTTTTTCTATTCCTAAAGCACAATCAAAATGGAGCAGCAGAGCAGCCACCACCTCAGGCTTGAGGCACCCTGAAAACGGGCTTTGGTCAGGGCCAGCTGCTCAGAGCAGTTCCTCATCCTCATGCCTGCTTTAAGTTACTGTCATAAAAAACGTGCTGCACTTCCTGTTCCTCCTTGAACGGTTTGTGGGTTCTATCATCCTTGAAGTGTTTTAGGTCCCTAATTTTAAACCTGCTGGTAGGCAAGGCGGTGTGCTTGATGCTGTCGCCTTCTTGCTTCTCATTATGGTGACTACCCTCGTGGTTGCTCTTTGAGTTGTTGGGGCGAGACTCAGTGAACCAATTTATACACTGGTTTTTATAAACCTGTCTGTGCCAGTTCCATCGTTTTCTTTTTCCTTTACCCTCTGTCTCCAGGTGGAGGAAAGAAGCATCTTGGAAATGCCACTAAAGATGTATCTAGTAGCTGCATGTGTAGAGGTTGCACTTTAATAAGGCCGCTCAGGTGCTGGAGTTAGTCTGTTCTTTGTGCCCTGGAGCTCTGTTTGTCTCTCAGGAATGCAAAACTTTGCATTCTCCTGCTGTAGACCAAGCAATGCAAGCATTTCAGGAGGTCAGACAGCGTCGTGCACACAGTCCTGGGCCTTAGTTGCTGGGGTCTAATTTTATTTTTGGGGGAAATAGTAGTGTTGCATTCATAGTCTTTTTAGGCTACGGTCATTCATGGAGTGTCTTTTCCATTTGGTCTTGCAAAGAATGTGCCAGTTTTTACTATTTTGACTAACTGAATTTTGTCTGTGTCCTTTGACTTGTTTGTTGTTGTATTTTTTCTTTCCCTGAGACTGTGCAAGTGCTTGAAGCTTCCCTCCTTACAAAGAAGGATTTATTTTCTGTTCAGTAGTTTATGAAGTACTTTTAAAGTTCTCCTTTACTTTCCTTCTTCCATTACTGACATGGTGGACCTGATTTCAAATCCAATGTGAATAGTGTCTTCTTTCTTTTAAAGATCTGTTCTTTTCCTATGGGATTATATTAGTCTGGCAGACACTTGAGAGAACCTGTAGCTAATACAACTGAAAATGGGTGTGCCTGTCCAACTTCTTTAAAAAGAAGAAAAAAAAGTTTTTTCAGATGGAGCTGAGTATGAGGATGTACCACTTCTGGGGTGTCCTGGCAGGGATCTGCTCTTTTGCCTTCCTGCTGTATTCCTGGCCTTTAATTACATTTGGTAAAATATATTTCACGTAAACCACTGCATTGATTTGGATGCAACATAAAATACTTCAATAGTTGTACTTCACAGGGCTTTATCTACATATTTGTAACAAGTTAGACCTGCAAAAATTGGGAAGTTTCTGAAGCATGTTCTTGTGTACAGCACTGAAAATAGCATTCAATTCAGAGCTATATGAAGGAGATGTGTTTATTGCAGGGGTGTATTGCTGTACAGGACTGGTTTTGCTTTGTTTTTTCTCAAACCCTTTGGACCGAGAGAAGCTGTCAGTGAAGCATCAGATATTAAACATGGATGCTTGCCTTGATGACTTTAACAATGACTTGAGTTTTGGTTTTTCTTAAATTGATTTTATCTTCCCATGTGTGTAGATACGGGATTTCATTTTTAGTGACTTGATAGGCTTCAGGAGCATGGAGATAAGATTCAATTTTTAAAACCAAAACCAACACTTCTCAAAGCTGTTGCCATTCTTCTTGCTTTTAAATAAGTGAATTGTTGGCTAATACTAAATATATATCTTAAAATGTAAATTCTGCTTAGTTGGTCTGTGACAGGAAAACTGAGCTATGATCTCACTAAAATTAATAATGTTCAGAAATATTTTTATAGATTTTAAATAAATAGCTATAAAAGCATTAAGTTACAGGTTTTTTGTCTTGCAAAATATTATATTTTAAATTTCATCCAGACTTCAAAATATAAAGTGTCAGTCTAAAGAGATTGAAAACCTGGTGTCTGTTGTTTTCAAACTGGTTGATCTTTGGTTTTGCCTCTAATGCTGGAATACTTTGTAAATGCTCTAATATGTGTTAGCATATATATTTATCCCTTCTTGCTATTTAGATAGAATGGATTTTTGGTTGCTTCATTAACGAATATTTGGGAGAAAATGCCTTCAAACTAGTTGAGAAAGCCATCAACTTCTTTGAGATTCTATACTTAGGAATTTTTTCCCTCCCTTCCACCCCCTGCACTTCCCTGTTTCTCTTTCCCCAGCGAGCACTTGTCCTGCTCATTCACCTTCTTCTTACATGGAGATAGCAATGTTTGCACCAGTGTGGAGATCAGTCAGCATCAACCTGTGTACCTGCTCAGTGAAGAACACCTCACTCTTGCCCAGCAGTCGAACAGCCCTTTTCAAGGTAAGTTTTGCCAGTCAGTAGTGGATATTAAAATGAATCAGTGCTTCCAGTTGTACAGAATGAGGACTTCTGGCAAAGAGTGGAAGGGGGAGAAGAGGTGTTACCTGGTTTATATTGATCAAACATTCTCCCCAAATGTCCCCTGTCTTGACATAGTCAGAAGCCATTTGGTGTCTCTCAGCTCTTCTGCAGGTAGATGGTTTCCATATTCATCTCTTGGCATGTAGCCAAATTGTCTAGCTTAATTTTCAAATAATGTCCTATTGGTAATTTAAATATTTTGCTTTTTCATCATGCCCCCTACATATCTTCATCAACCCCTCTTTTAGAAATCCATTTGTGACTCAACATTCTTAACCTATTCACTCTTCCTACCCATTCTTACCTATTCACTCTTCCTACCCATTCTTATTTGGCTCTTCCTTTCCTATAAATTCCTTTGGATCCACCAGCAGATGCAGGCTATGTTCTCAAAGACAAAGGAGTGATGGGGCCTGAGTGTGGTTAGTGGGCTGTTTGATCATTCCCTGTCTTAGACGCACTTGTGTTGGAAATCACTTCTACTGCATGACCACACTCTGCCCTTGTTTATTAATGCTCAGTGTCCAAACTTGCTCTTTTTGAATGCAATTTAGTAGTAGCTGTGCTTTCCTAATACAGACAAGACTAAACATGAAATGGATTACTTCCCTGTGTATACATTTTTGTAACTGTACCAAGCAGGATGAAAGGATGAGGAAACAGCTTAACTCTGACAGAATTTGAAACAGTATTTCTTTATCCCACCTGTATGCTGGTACATACGTTAAACAACGTGTACCTATTACCAAAAACTTCTGCAGTGTAGTAAAATGGGAGTAGGGTGCATTTTTATCTTAACAATGGTAAGTTATTTGGTGTGTCTGTTGCAGTGAGGAAGAATGAATTTTGTTTGGACATACTCTCCAATGTATTTTTATTTATCTTTTTAGTTATTCTGAGTCCCTTTGGATTAAATGGCACGCTCACAGGGCAGTCATTCAAGCTTTCCGATTCATCAACAAAAAAGCTTATTGGTGAATGGAAACAATTCTATCCTGTCACATCCAACTTGAAGGAGGGATTTGAGGAAAAACAGGAAGACATGGATTGGGAGGATGATTCTTTAGCTGCTGTTGAAGTCCTTGTTGGTTAGTACAATGATTACCTTTTACTGAAATAAACTGGATGGTTTGATCTGCAATTCTGAATGCTTTTTTATTCTTTTTTGTAACTACTTGCAACTGCTGTTGGTCTTAAGTTTTTTCTGTTTAATGCTCAGGACTATATAAAACGAGTTGCTGGTTGAAGTGGGTTTTGCAGATCTGTTAGGAGGAGGTTTTTTTCTTTGTGCTCTGAGAAGCAAGATTGTTTTTAAAATAAATAAATAAAGTATAACCAAACCCCCCTAGGCTATCTCCATTGACATCAGAGGTGCATCACAAGCACCTGTTTCAGGTTCTGTGCAAATTTAAATGGAATAGGGATGTCTTCAAACCCACAATCCTGGAGAACTTGATGTACTCGGGCACTGCATTTATCTGCTGCGGTTCCTAAAAATCTAAGCCCCTGGGATGCAGTAGTTTGTTCCTCTCCTGTGGGCTATTGACCTTTGATTTGCCAGCTAATGTAATAATTTCTCTGTAATGTGTGTTAAAAGCTTGTATTGCAGTGATGGGTGGAGACCCTGATGATGGGGAGGGGAATCTTCTCAGCTTTACATGGTACCAAAAAGTATACTGTCAGTCATGTTTATAAAACAAAATGATAGAAGCAAGCAGTAGCATGTAGGTACCAGGGCTGCCTTTGCCTATATGTACAAAGCCCTTTTCATTCATTCACCCAGATCTTCTGTATAAACCAGAAGATTTTAGAGCAGGTGTTGTCACCCTCATCATAAAGTAATGATGAGGGTGACAACAGAGAATTTTGTCCAAGGATGATGCTTTAGTAGGTAGAAAGGGTAGGTAAACTTATGAGTGATGGGTAAAATGATCCAGTTGTTGATGATTTTGAATGTAAGGTTTTGGTAAACAGCTGTAAAATGGATTTGCTCTTTATTGCAGCTGGTGTGCGAATGGTATACCCAGCATGCTTCGTTCTAGTTCCCCAGACAGACATCCCTACCCCTAGTACCGTAGGGGCATCGCACTGTTCGACTACTTGCTTGGGTGTCCACCAAGTGCCTGCTTCCACAAGAGATCCTGCCATGTCTTCAGTAACTCTGACTCCACCGACATCCCCAGAGGAAGTTCAAACAGGTATAATAAAATCAGCTTGAGCATGTGGGGAATAATTTTGATGGCTTCTCCTTTAAACCTAGCAATGGTTGGAAAGGACTCAGATGTTCTATGTACAGCTGACATCATATTTCTTTAGTCATAAGTCTGTTGTAGTAAAACCAATTTTTAGTGTTTAGTTTTGTGCAAAATTAACTTAAACACTTTTGTAAGTTGCTGAAATCAGGACTGCTTTTGTACTGGATGTTGTCATCAGCCATTAGAGAGCAAAGTGGTGTTTTCAGCCTTCCTCCCAGTCCATGAAAGATTCTTTATAGTTAGGTTTCCAGTAAGGCTGTGAGCCCTCTGAGCTGTGTGAGAGTAGTGGTTATGGTAAACCTAAACTAAGTCAAAGTCAATCAAAGCGGGAAGGCTCACTGATAGTTTCACGTGGCTTTACATACAGTTCTTGTGCAGAAGAGGTGTTTCCCCCCTCCCAAAGTCTCCTGTTACCTTAGTTTGCCTTTTTATTTTTTTTATTTTTAATAATAGTATTACTAAATTTGCTAACAGCTTGCTTTGCTCAAGTTATTTTCTTCAGATCTGTAGTTTCTTGGAAGATAAATACCAGTTCTAAACATATATGATGGGGGGGGTGGTGTTAAATTGAGAGGGAAGCATGTTACAATAATCTGCTCCTATACCTAATTTATTTATTTATAATTTTCTCATTTGAGTTAAGAAGATACTTTTCTTCCTAAGATGTTCCTCTGGTGATCGAGTAGGAGTAATAGTGGTTGTGAGCATATCGCCACATTGCCTAAAACTGTTTCCTCTGGTGCTGCTTTTCAGTTGATGCTCAATCTGCCCAGAAGTGGGTGAAGTTCTCTTCAGTTTCTGATGGATTCATCTCTGACAGTACCAGCCATCATGGTGGCAAAATACCTAGAAAGCTGGCCAACCAAGTGGTGGACAGAGTTTGGCAAGAATGCAATATGAACAGAGCACAGAACAAGTACGTACTCATTTTGTGAACCTAAAAATACCTGTAGTATCCTGTGTATTTATTTGTTGCAGAAAGTAGTTCTGTTAAAGATGTGGTGACTGCTAGTAGAAGTTTCTTTACTTTTAGTAATAAAACATTTTGAAGAAGTTAATTTGTTCCTAAGTAGTAGTTTGTTTAGTTCTCAGTTTAATATGTTAGTAAAAGGCTATTTAGAATTTCTTTGCTGAATCTGGCGTCACAAAACCGCTCTTGAGGTATGGCAGAAGTTAAGGAAATAATGTATGTTGGTCCCGAATAATTCTCCGCATATTGGATCATAGGAGGAAGTATTCTGCTACATCAAATGGCTTGTGTGATGAAGAGACAGCTGAAAAGATAGCATGCTGGGATTTTGTTGAAGCCACGCAGAGGACAAATTGCAATTGTTCAAGGTACAGTACTTGGCAAACCCACAGTCCAACAATGTACATTGAGATTGAAGTGCTCAGGAGAGGGCTCGTGATGAGTCCTTTAGGAGTAATTAAGCAGTAGCTGCTTGTAGGGAAGTGGTAACAAAATTTGTATCTCGCCTCCTAAATGTCATTGTAGGTCTTGAAACTCTGCCCAATAAGATTATGCAGAGGTTTTATTCAAGTGAATCATCTGCGTTGACTTACTGGTAGTTCAGTGACTTATTCCTGAGTCTAGGGCTGGAATTCCTTAGGCCTGTAGAAACTATCTCTGGGCAACTTTCTTGGGCTGCAATGGAAAGGGAATGCCTATTTATTTAGGAATTAAGAACTTTTTCTACAGGGCTGTGACATCAGCCTTGAAGGGAGAAAGCTATTAATCAAGAGCAGGATGATTGTAGCATTGTGTCTAGAAGAATATGAGAAAGAAACCCAAACTTGCTTTACTTTTTGGGAAATTTCCATGGGTGCTTGTATGTAAAACTGCTTTTCTGTGGGGTGGTTGCCAGTATATGTTTTTCGTATTAGGTGGAGGTGGGGAGAAAGAATCAAAGCACAGGGGGAAAGTCTGAATTCAACTTCCAGGTTTTGTTATGACTTTTGTTTTGAAACTGTGCAATGGCACAGGGGTTTAAAATAAATGGAAACATTAATTTCAGTGAACTCTCAATTTCCGTACCTAGGGCAGAATGCTAACCTTTAGGTGACTGAAGTGTTGCAAAGGTTTAAACACTTTCTCTGACTTGTTACACTGGTTACTTTGCAATGAATATCGGCATCTTAAAAATTAATGTCTGGAGGATGTAACATCTTGAAAAAAGTACATTTTATTTTTTTTCTCCTTTATTGAAATGGTTGGTTGAAGTTCTGTGGAAATACTTATGTCCTGAGAAGAGCTGGTAGATGGAGGAGGATTAAATATTCTGTTAAAGGAAAATTTAGATATGATACCACTTGTTAAGAGAAAACAATCAGTCAACTGTGTGAGGTGTGTATTAGAAATCTGCAGTTGCCTAAAGAGAAATTGCAAAGACTAAACCCTCTTATTTTTCTCTGTATTTTGAATTCTAAGCAGTGAAAAACGTGTATGTGTATGAGAGTTAAAGGTAAAAATAGATTTTGTTCCTGCTTAATCCTGTTTTTTTTAATTAAAAAGCTGCATGTTTCTTAACTTTGCTAATGGAAGAGTGACAAAGAGTAGCCAGGTGCTAAGGATGTACATGCAGATCGTTAAGTGCAGTAGCTTAATCATGAACATTTCATTCTAGACTTCGGTATTTCATGTCTCTCATTGTCTCAGATGGTCTAGAAAGTTTACATCTTGAACTTCAAGACAAAATGTTTAAGTTCAAGTGCATTTATACTTAGGAACATAGGAAAATCTGTCCTATTAACTATTTTCCTATGTCCTACTAACACAGGAAAACACATGTTAACCGGTTGACACGCTGAGTTTTTCTTCTTTCCACACTTGCTAGATTTGTCAATAAATAGCTTCAAAAGCTTTGAAATAGCTTTTGTAAGACTGAGCTTCTCTTCTAGATTCTTGATGTTAATTCTCCTTAACCCATAGACTTGGACAGCACCATTGGTTAGTACTGATGCCTGAATTCAGGAAGGTCATTCACCAATTCATATGTTATTCTACTGATTCATCAGTGTTAGCAGAAGTTAAAAGCGACACCATGTTCATGTGACTATTTCTGTTAAAATACTATCTGTAGTTATGAGGATTATGTGTGTGTTTGGCTCATAGGACAGCTTTTTTTAAATGGTGTCCTAAAATCTTGCAGTGCTAATCAGGTCATTCAAGTTAAGTTATGGTCAGAAAGAAGCAGCTTCACTTCAGAATGGTATCAGTTTCAGGCTTCTATAATCAGCTGTTTAATGGCTTAGAAGCGGGTTCTTATCTGGTGAAAAAGAACATGATAGACATATTTGAAAGATTAATGTGAAGTATTTTCTCCTGTATTAATTCTGCAGGCACAAAAATCTCAAACCAAGAAATTCAGGTCAACAGGGGCAGGCACCACCTGTGGGCCAACAACAGCAAGCAGCTCCAAAGCACAAGACAAATGAGAAGCAAGACAAAGGGGATAAGCCACAGAAACGCCCTTTGACTCCTTTTCATCATCGTGTATCTATCAGTGACGATGTTGCCATGGAGGCAGATTCAGCGAGTCAGAGGCTTGTGATGACTGCACCAGACAGTCAAGTGAGATTTTCAAATATCCGAACTAATGATGTAGCAAAGACTCCTCAGATGCATAATGCTGAAATGGCAAATTCACCTCAGCCACCACCACTTAGTCCTCACCCGTGTGATGTAGTTGATGAAGGGGTAGCTAAAGCTCCTTCTACGCCTCAGAGTCAACATTTCTACCAGATGCCAACACCAGACCCCTTGGTTCCCACAAAAACAATGGAAGACAGACTCGATGGCTTGTCTCAGCCTTTTCCAGCTCAATTTCCTGAAGTTATAGAGCCTACAATGTATGTTGGTACTGCAGTGAATTTGGAGGAAGATGAAGCTGATACTACTTGGAAGTATTATAGAGTTCCAAAGAAAAAGGATGGGGAATTCTTACCACCTCAGCTTCCAAATGATAAGTTGAGAGATGATCCAGTAATACCTGCTGGACAGGAAAACCTAACATCAGTTACAGAGTAAGTAGTGCTTAATACCAGAGCAATAACATAAGAAAGTGAGGGAACTGAGTGGCCAAAGGCAGTAGTTTCTCAATATAAGGAAGCTTGTCACTGAAACAGAACGTTGTTCTCGTGAGCTAGAGCAGTAGCACAGAGTGTGAGCATAACTGTCTGTGTTGTCTGCATGCAAGGAGTTAATACTTGTGAAATGTGAGCACAAAGCACAATCAAGTGTGTAGTAAGACTTTGCAGCTTTTTCTCATTAGAACTCTGATTTAGCAGATGGCAATGAAGTTTATTTTTCTACTGTAAAATAAATCTGTAGCCAAATTATGCCTGTTTGGGACTTAAACTTATAGTGTCTGTTTCCACTCCCCCCCAGTAATTTTCTCATTATGATACCTGCTTTCTTCATTACTTGACGAAAGCATGGATGGTCTCAGCTGCAGACTTACTCTGTTTAAAACAAAGTTTCTTGTACCTCAGTTCCACTCTTTGTTCGGAAG